TTAACAGTAGTATAAATACCCCCGCGCTGCTCATTTCAAGGGAGGGTGGGTGAGATCTACTTCTTAACCTACTATAATATCAGAATTTATCCTGTACCGGTTAGCTGAATTAACTCTGCACAACTCGAGATATACGATAACAAGGAACATGCTATAAAGAGTTTCTGTCCGTTCAAAATAGTTACGGCATTCGAAACTCTAATTATAAATTCTCACAGCAGTATAAATTACTGTACAGCAGCAACTCATCTCAGAAGTATAATCTAGGCAACAATAGTTCTATCTAAATACGTTTGGCTATGACCATTATAGCAGAGCGAAGGTTCGATAATTGCTTAAAAAACAACAGACTTGAACTATCGGCTGTACAACAATTTAGGAGTTATTCGTGACAATTTACAAATTCTGTATTAGATTTTAATCTTGTTCAATCTCTTCTACATTGAGCAATATATCAAAAAATTTAGTTTGCGATATCCAATCTTAATTATCCAATATATTATTTTACTAAAAAATGCTTAATCCAAATTCAAGTATTTATATCAATTTTAAAACTACTGATATTGCGATTGCAATATTTTTGTTCATTCAATCAAGTGATCATAACTTTTATTAAACGCTAGGTATAAGCAGGACAATGTGTGTCACAAACCAGCTTCGTGACAAGGATAACGTAAAACAAATCTCTAAATCTCTAAAATCTGCGGATTCAGTATCCCTAGTCACAAGAATTTAGACGCCTTTGATTCTACGTTAAACTCAACTAGACAATTGAGAACTACTTTATTCAACTATCTGGCGGGCTCATATACCCCTTCTACAGCAGCTAACATTCATGAGTCATCTTGTAAAAATACTTAGGTGAGAACATCTACTAACTAATTTTTTACAGTCGGACTACAACATGTCCATTCACAGAATCATTTCAGAGCACATTACAGCACAACATTAAATTTACTGTAACACATTTATAATTAGAGTAATTCCTATTGTAAGTAACTAGTTGTAATATATTATCACTATATTATATTAACCAAATTTAGATAGCTATTTCTTCACGGTAGTTCGTACCGTGACAATGTGGCACATAAATTGTCAATTATAAGCCTTTTAGAATAAAATTTCTTTAAAAATTTAAATATTAGTAATTTAAGAAAAAAAAAAAAATTACTACTTAATTAACGCGCAAGATATTAACTATTCTTATTTATTACTCTATTCTTAAACTTATCCTTGCAATCACAATGATCATTTTTAACTAATACCGGTAGTATTTGTTAATACGCGTATATCTCAATAAACTAATTCCAACTCTAATTTCATCTACATTTCGAAAGGAAAATTGTCGAAATTATAATTCGATTATCAAAGTGACGCTATATATCACCATTAAATCATAAACTTTTTCTGCATTGCAGTATAACACTCATTCATTTATAGTAGTCCGGAGTAATTGTCTAAATATTTATACAAGTTCATTATTCTATCCTATACATCTATAGTTATCGCTAACGAATGATTTCAATCTTTCTAGAAGTAATATAAGTTACTTAATTAATACCCTAAATGATCAGTCAAGATATTTCTAAGTCTACTCTTCTATTCAAATTTCTTGCTATCCGCATTATTTCTGCAAATAAGTTACCTGGAAACAATTTTAATTGGCTAGCTCAGGCTATAATTATTTGAAGTCATATAGCCTGAACGATTTAATTTAACATAAAAACAATCTATGTACACCGCCGATTGATAAGGTACCTATGGTAATTCATGCTTATATTGGAATTCACATATTATCATTTTTTGTTTACATTGCATAATTCAATTTATTCTGTGCTCATTTAGCTTATACTGTATCGTTTTATCAGAAATCGCTAGTCATGATGGAAATATACCCGAGTTTATTTTGTCGGATACCAAATACTGTGCCTTAATGAAGTTCACGAATCTGCAGTTAAAGGTTTAATTATTTTGAATATATTTTATTACAGTTTTGTACAGTAACTAATATCTAGCAGTATACAGCTCGAGATATAAGTATAAGTACAACGACTATCTAATTATACGATTCACTTACTATTCTGAATTTTAATAAATTTTATTTAGAAAAAATTTTAATGAAACTCATTTAAAGTAGACTATTCAAGTAAATCATTATCTATTTTTTAAAAACTCTGTACGTGAAATACACAAAATACACTTTAATTCAAAAAGTTCTGATTTTCAAGAATTACAACTCGCTTCCCATCATCTTTCCGAAATTTCAGGTTTATTAGTTGCTTTCTATAAATACAATAATATTTCTAACTTGAACATGATATTTATAGAAATAATCATAGTTAGATAGCCAATATATTTATCTAACGGTCAGTATTTAAATATAGTTTTACATGTACGAAGCAGCTGCTGTCAGTAGTGCCTATGAGTGTCCTTGACGGCCATTTGGGACTATTGGTGGTTACTGTAACAGTTATATAATAATCAATAGGATACACAAAAAGGATCGATATTGTTGTAGACAGGTTACCGATACATTCCTATGGTTTGGTATTTTAATGCGGTTTAATTACAATTTAGCATGTTACCAACCTATTATCATATCATAATCAATACGGATTTTATCTATTTATAATTACAGAATTATCAACTGGCTTTTCGAGCGCCACATTTAATATTTATTATCGTATGATTCTCTTCAAAGAACTAGCATAGTATTTATGTGTATTTTAGACATTGTACCGATATTTAAACCTTCCAGATTGTTCATCATTAAGTAATAGCATAATCTATACGCGCATCACGACGTTAGATCATCGTGAACAAAAATTTATTGCATCAATTATTACAGATAGTCTGTTCTTAAAGCTACAAACCAATTTACGTAACGTACAATTTATAGATAGCAGATACTAAATAAGAAGGATTTTGTTTACATTAAAAATGACTATAATTTTTGAGTTAAACCTGTATAGGCTATATAGCTGATGCTTAATTTTAGAGATATACCACATGCCTATGATTCAATGCCATATATGTATTAAATAGCATTATGTAGCGGTAGTAGGAGAAATTTCTAATTTCGATATAGCAATGTGTTATCAACCTCTGATGTGACTATTGCCTAATGATTAGCTTGAGAATACGTAAATATTATTTACGTTTTATGCACCAAGTAATGAAAAAAGAGTTTAATAATGATTTTTCGCTTGCGCACAAGAAATTAAACGGTCTACTTTGCGTCTGCCATGAAATTCGAGTAAAATCTTTACAGTTGTCCCGAAGTGTTAGTCTTGCTTGCTAGTTCAAAGTTGTAGACCAATAGAAATGCCTGTACGTGTATTTTCTTACAGAATTATACACTCATTCGTTACAACATGTAAGCTACATAGAAGCTGATATATAAAACTGGTAATGGTGACTTCAGAAGTAAGCTCTTAAATGCACGGAAATCAGCAATCATATCCATATCGATAATATCTCAAAGAATTACCACGATCACTAGCAGCAGTATCAAAAATACTGTACAATTTAGCTTATGGCGAAAATTTCTGAATTTTTTCAAGAATTTTTGACATAATCTATTGTATATTGTAAAATCAATCATAAAGATATCGTTCAGAGCATTTGCTATTATTGGTTAATTGCAAAGTAAAGCCAACAATAAGCAAAAAATGTAATATATTAAGTGAGTAAATATACCTCTTTACTGCTAATTAAATTTCCAAACCACGAGATACATGCAATTTTGAATAAATGATTCTAACGTAATCACTACAATTCGATATTCCTTTAATTAGTTATGCCACCATAAAGCAGTATCTATAGCAATCAATACGATACTTGAACTTGCTGACAAAAGTTTAATTTCATTTACCCTCCGTTACCATACACCAACTGGCACAATTCTATTAGGTTTGAATGAGAAAAATAGAATAATAAAGCAGAAATTATTTTGAATTTATTACAGCAATTAATTTTAATATTCAATACCGCTTGGTATAAATATAAATATAAATTTATATTATACTCTTCTGACAATAAATTAAAGCTATTATTTCATCGGTATACTAATGACGATTTTAATTTCATAATGAAAATGGAAGTAAAATTAGGACATCAATTTGTTAATCGACCAAATTAGCATATATAATACGACTCAATTTTAAAGAAATCAAAAATATAATGTAATAGGCATTAGTATATTATTCAATAGCAGCAAATCTAAACATTAAATACTTAGAGAGTTAATACGCCGAACAATGTTATTCTAATTTATGTCAATGGTTTTAATAATTGATTGAAAGGATTCAAAGCGACGTATAAGTAAAAATGAATAATTTAATCAATTCTAGAGTCTTATTCATTTTTGTCCTCTATACAATGGAATATTGTCCAATTTTACTGCTCGTAAACCTTTATAATTTTAACTTAAATAATCCTAAACACCCATTCGAATACTACTCTAATTGAAACGACAGTATTTTATTTCGCTAAACAATAATTATTTGATGTTATATACCAGGTTATCTAAAATACTGCCTACTATTAGACGATAGATACGCAATTGATTTGTCGAAATAATTCTTTCAAAACATGATTCATGCGTCGGAAAGATCCAATAGAAATTATCATCTAATTAATTACTTTAAATAATTTTGCATATATCGTCAATACTTACGCCTAATTAATTATTTAACGGAGAATATACGTCAAGTTTTATGAGAGACGCCGTTATTATTGTTCTCAAGTAGATTTAAAAGAAGAGAAATAAACATCACTTCGACAACGTCTTGGTCCCTAAGTTTCATCACTATAAACCTACATTTAGGTATAGCGAACTATCAAAAACGGGTTATGTTATGGATTGGAAAAGGCAATTCGAATCGAGCCACCAATTTAATTCCACCTATTCTGTCAATGCTTCATCTTCCACACATATATTAAGTAATTTACGAATTGCAATTATATGTGTTTGCTCGATCATCTCAGTATTTAGTATAATGGGTAATTTGTTGTCGCTGATGGCTATCTCTAGATCTAAATACTGGCATACACCTAATGGTTTACTCTTAACTAATCTTGCTATAGTTGACTTTTTACTTGGGTTGATATGCTTACCGCTAGTAATTGCAGTAGCTTATGCAGGTCAAAATGTTCCAACAGTTTTATGTCAAATTCAAGCATTTTCATTAGGAGTTCTCAATTGTACTTCTATCAATACTGCTGTAATTATCAGTATCGATCGCTATGTAGCAGTAGCTCAACCTTATTATCATGCTGCATCTGTAGGTAGAAGTAAAGTTATTAAAGCAATCGTCACCGCTTGGTCACTATCGGCAATAATGTCCTCGATACCAATTATCGCTCAAGGAAAGTATGGACTAGGAATCTATGATAATCGAAATCAAATATGTTGGTTTTTTATGAGAGATTATGCTAAAAATCATATCATTAATAGCATATTTATTACAGCAATGTTGTTAGCTATTGCTATCGTTTTATTTTGCTATGCAATTATGTTTGGAATTGCTTATCAGAAAAGTACTGCTACGCCTCTGTATCATTTTGGAAGCAGCTACCGTAATATTAAGAAAACCATTTTTACTACCACCTTAATAGTGGGAACTAAAATAATTTGTTGGCTGCCATTATCAGTTGTCAGTGTTCTTGATGCTTGCACTACAGTACCATTAACTTCTTTAGTAGGAATTATGGTTTATTTCTTTGCTTTTGCCAATTCGGCTTTAAATCCGATGATTTATATAGCTACTAGTAGTACTTTGCGCTTAAAAGTACTGCAACTTATCCATCGAAATCGTCGAGTTAATAATTTAGTCACTGTATCAAGCACTTTCACCAGAAATACATAATTACAACATATACCGGTATACTTATGTGATAGAAACATATAAATGTGACTACCCGTATTTTGTATTTGCTTTTTTATTTAAAGAGTATCAAACCTAGGAATATAAAATCTATGTAATCATATAATCATATATTTGAGATAACTCCGTTCATTCTAAAATTCATTTGTGGTTAAAGCTCCAATGACTTATTAAACACATAGCATAATCAATAAAATGCAACGTAATCGCGATTTAGATTCCTTTATATTTATACCATAATATACTTGTAGTTGTTAAATTAGTAAAGAATCAATAGATTGCTAAACTGAATTATTATTTTCCATTGCTCCGAGTAATTTTGTGTTATTTTGTCGAACCAAAGTCAATCTTTTATGCAATTTTGTGATTTTGATTGAAGGCAGGATATGACTGTAACTGCTACCGTAATGACGTAAATAGCTAGGTACATGCCTGATTGATTAAGTAATTATTTGTGCGGTCTTATAGACATATAATATTGTATAACTTTGGAAAACTTGTTTTTATATGGATATAGTATAAAGCAACCATACTAACTGGCACATCTAGTCTGCCAGAGATAATTATTTAACTAGATTTCTTATGCCGCTGCTTAATTTTTTAACTTCCTTGGAAGATTGTCTGGTTGAGAATTCAACGATATCATATCCAGCATTAACATTTAAAATTAATTCTCTTGATTAATAACAACTATGTAGTCCAGTTGCGTAACTTTTTCAAGTCTAATTCTGAAATTAAGGAGATATTATTTAAATAACCGTGATCGTGGAGGAATTAAAATTGTTCTTTAAAAATATGCCACAATATATTGTGATTAATAAAATACGCGATAAAAGCATAAATGCCATTCAATTTTTAATAAATGCTGGTTAACTTGTCTACAATAACCTCTAATTTAAACGTATAAAGGTTCTTTTAATATCATATGCCTTAAAAGTTCTACTAATCTCAGAGTCAAAATTTTGATTTAAAGGATATATCCTATTGAATATTTTAAAATCTATATAATCAGCAATATTTTTCACGGAAGATTATGCTCGTAAATTCCTACATGAAAAAGTTCAAATCCTTTTAACAAACTGTGGGTTCGCTAAAGCATGGTACTCTACAGTTCGTGTTTGCAATGGTTAAAACTACTATCATGCAATCAATTAATAATTTATCAACAATTTAAATGGTTGCCGATATTCATTCAGATATTACCCTATCGTCAACCATAGTATTTTTAATATTGCTATAAATATACTATATGGTAGTGATTTCGTCATATACTGCGGGCAATGAGTAAATATATTTACAATGTGCACTTAATTTTGTTCGTTGATATCTCGATCACCAATATCTTTGGTTAACTAATTACGAAATCGAATCTATGACAACAGTATAATTTGATGGAGCCCGTAATAGGAATAAAACATTAATTTAAATTCTTAATACTATACTACATATTTATCATCCCCTGATAGAAAGTCTCTTCTCAGTAAATAGTTCTCTTTCATTTAATATTATTCTTCTTGTATTTCAATACTAATTAATACAATTTTTCCCTTACCATAAACACATCACGAATTTCAAATCGTATATGAAGAAATCCATCGATCCAACGACAATCGCATGATTAGGATATACGTACGCCTAAAAAATTAAGTAAATGTAATCATTTGATTCTGTAATGATCTCAGCTAATTGTAGTAGAACAGTATGTGGCTAAGCAAACCTACAATGATAGCAGGAGTCTATTATATGTTCATTACAGATTCATTAGCATTTCGCTTCTAATATTTTGCCGGAAAAAATTTTAATTATTTTCATAGTATGTAAGTAAAATATTATTTACGTAGAAATAGATTGCCGAGGCCATCGTTTGTAGTTATTCTGCCAAGAATGTAGATAATGCAATTGTACTTATTGAAACCTTGTCACGGCAAAAACTCTGTAAACTTAAACGCTGAAATATCTAAAACGCCCTCTGAAAAACCTACATATTATTCGCACTTTTAACAACTGCCATGCTTTATCATATTATTGCAAAATTTCGACTTTTACAGTATGTTCTTTATTCAGATGATTGAATATTTTATTACGTTCTAAGCTTCTGTAAATATTTCAACCTTCTATAACGGCGTTAAAGCTCTTTCCATTCGAAACCTTATTTTAAATTTTTAGCTAGAATTTTTAATTGTTTATATGAGAAATTCATTCCACCTCGAAGTGCACCTTGCCAAATATTATTAACGGCAAATTGGGCTTAAATTGGGATCGTATACAGAATAATAAAAATCATTTCCTGATGAAAAATTATAGGGTGTAGCCATAAAAATGGGCAAAAACAATCGCATTAAGCAATATCGATGCTTTATTTAATTAATTGGACGATATATTTTCAAAATACATCGTTTTGATTGATATTAGCGATAGCAGAGGATCTGAATTCAAGTGGGAGAAATATTTTATAGCAAAATTAGGCGCTAGAAATAAACAGTAAGATTGAGTTTACTCATTGTTAATATAATAAAGTCTTTATACAGCAACATATTTGCGTTATTTGGACTTTACGAAAGTGTTACTACAGTAATATCTACTGGGAAATATTGCTATGTAACGCTATTCAATCTACAGAGCATGTATTTAAAATTGATGTAATCAGCTCATTTCTATTGTAAAATACTTTTAATTGAAAATTCCATAAGAATTTGACTTGGAACAAATGTAATAAAATTTGGAATTTAAAATAAAGGCAAGAGAGGAAGGTAGTTGTTATGGCTATGATGACCTATGATAATATTAAGATATTAAGACACCACCTACCTATAATATTAAATCTCATAGATTATTAGCAAACTATTACACATTAGATTTCTTACAGTCATAATTTTCATATGTACCAATGCATTATATAATATGTTATTCTTTTATTATTTCTTTCTTAACATTGTACGGTGCTGTGTGTAAGCCATATACAGTACTATAGTATAGCAAAGATGGTTTTGATTATCAAGACTAACTGCAGAAATTCGATATTAATGTAGTTTAATCTATGTCTGTTGTAATCGTTATTTGGTTCCTTGCAAACTAGTACTACATTAAGTAAGCGCAGCAAATATTATATTACCATTTCATTAAATCCAGTACACCAAATCTGGATTTGGAAACTGATTCAATTTTTTTCTTTATTAGCGATTATCGAGTATATCTAGATATCTTTGAGAGTGAAATTAGAAGACTTAAAATCCTAACGCAAGCTGTTGCGACTAGATCAATATCCTAAACATCCATTCCCGCTATGGCCACTGCAGGCAAGTTCATCTTTATGGGGATAAATAATTTTATTAAATCACGATGATGCTATTACGACCAAACTCCTTCAGACTAGTACTTCCTAAACTACATTATTCTGCTACGCATCTTAGTCTCTATGCAAGCTATTATCGAAGATTAGGTTCTTGATTTCTTTCTAGAGTATCATGAGCAATCAGGATTTAGCGAGATTTTACATCCAGAATTAATCGTAGGGCTTAAATTTTCGCAGTTGAGACTATAATTCCTATTTAGATATTGCTTCGAAATACTAGATAATGAAATTATTTCATTATTTTCGTTACTATTCAAAATTTAGGTACTTTTCAGTCGCAATTATGAGTTCTAGTCAATACTTCGAGCATCAGCGGTCGTTAGAAATATTTAAAAGTAAACTTAAACTCATTTAATGTTATAATATCAGTTCAATCACAGATTTATTTACTCTGCGATGTGTAATTCACCATAAATTAGTTATAACTACTATGATTTATACTACTAGAGTAACGAATATTTATACAGGTGTCACAAACCAACTTCGTGACAAGTATAACGTAAAAACAAATCTCTAAATTACTATAGTCTCCGGGATTCAGTATCCCTACTTACAAGAATTTAGACGCCTTTGATTCTACGTTAAAACAACTATACAATTGAGAACTGCTTTATTCAACTATCTGACGGGTTTATATACCCTTCTACAGCAGCTAACATTCACAAGTCATCTTATAATAATACTTGGGTGAGAACATCTACTAACTAATTTTTCACAGTCGGACTACAATATGTCCATTCACAGAATCATTTCAGCACACATTACAGCACAGCAATAAATTTACTGTAACACATTTATAATTAGAGTAATTCCTATTGTAAGTAACTAGTTGTAATATAATATCACTATACTATATTAACCAAATTTAGATAGCTATTTCTTCACGGTAGTTCGTACCGTGACAACAGGATGTAATATATGATCAAAAATAACCATTACAATTATATGCTATAACATTGTAGCAACTGTAGAATACACTTTATAAATTAAACAATTATAGCAATTTTTAGCCACCCATTATACTTACAGTAGCGATTTAAAGTATACCAATAAATATGTCTCTTATATTTTTATAACATTGCAAACTCTAAAAAAATATATACATTAAGACATACATTATATCACTATATGTTCATAATTCTCAATTACAGCTATTTTGCTATTATACCAAGGAACAATAAAGACTTTGTCCTATGGCGGCTGTTATTTAGGATAATCATTTTCGACTTTACATATATATTAATATTACTATCGAAGACTGTTTCTAGTTATTAACAATGTAATAATGATGAAAATCATCGCAGCTGGAATCGTAATATGTATTGTTACATCTATCTATATCTAATACCATTTGCCTGGAAAGATTTCTAGTAACATTTATGAATAATAGTATTAATAGCTATTGGCTGTTATAGAGGATAATGATTTTCGATTTTACACATATATCAACAGTGCTGTTAAATATCGTTTTTAGGTATTGTACGATGTAATAACAGTACAAACTGTCGCAGCTTGAAACATGACATGCTTTGCTACGTCTATATCTACTATCACTCTCTGGAAAGATATCTCATGACATTTCTGTGTAATATTATTTATTTATCGTTTAAGCAGAAATACGCCTAAATTA